AGCTGGTCGGTCGACCGGCCACATCAGACCGGTCGTCCGACCAGCCGGTCGAATTTTTTTCGGCGTCGATCAGCCCTCATCGCTACTCTCAGTGGAAGAAGAAGAAAGAATTGTTTTATATATGGTAACAAAAAAGATGAAGAGAAATTCAAAGAAAGACTTGAGATTAAAAAGGAGATAAAAATACCTTAGAAGGAAGAAAGTCTAGGATGTTGAGGAAAAATGAAAGTGATTCTTTGAAGTAAAAATCATCTCCTTTTATAAACACAAGAATTCAAACTTTTTAGGGGGAAAATTCCCTCCAACATTTGGACCAATGATGGGGTGCCATGTGTATAGTAAAATTGCTACTTGATTTCGATTGCATTGCTCGACTTGCTAATATGAACTACTCATTTATCATTTATATGTATTAAAAAAAAAATTAAACCAACCCAGATAAAGAAAATTGCTACCCCTCGCCAAAAACATCGACAAGGGATAGGGGGCTAATGATATAGGTTGGTAGAAGGGGCCACCCTCGACGTACAAGCAAGATGGATCACTACACTTCGACGCAAGGCCGTCGACCCCCCCAGGGGCGCTCTACCAATACCCCCGGGGAGCGCTCTACCACTACGCAAGGCCGTCGACCCCCCATGAGCGCTCTACCAATGCCCCCGGGGGTGCTCTACCACTACGTGGGGCCTTCAACGGGTACGGAATTGCCAACCCAAACACTTAGCCATAAAACCTCTAGTAAATTGACTAGATTCTATGGCAGCTAACACAGGTACAACCTCCAGGCGGGAAGATAAAAACCCCCCACTCAGAACGTGGGGGTAGTGAGAATGCCAACGTGGGACACGTGATACCACAACCGCCCAGCGGTTATCCAGCTCCCAATATCTATAAATTCCCCGGATGTGACACAGGTAAAGCTCTCTCTCTCTCTCACTCTTTTTAGCCATCTGATTTTCAATTGCAAGTCAAAAAACTAATTTTCACACCGAAGGTAAAATGGGGGAGGAAGCCCCGCCTTCGTTTTTCAGGTCACAAACACTTGACGGAGCCGTCGGAATATCGAACGCCAACAGGCAAATAGAAAGGTATTGTTCCACAACCATTTCAAGATATTAAAAAAAAAAAAAAATTATTTCGAACATACAGATAAGATCATGCATGAGTAAGATGTGCATTAAAGGAGCACAGTCCACATACCTTCAAACCTGCAACAACCCCATTGATATACAAAATGGCTACAATCATAATATGTCCACTTATCATGTTACAAGCAAGCTGTCGTTGTTGAGCGGAATATCCTGGTTCGGTATTAAAATCCTTACCTCAAGTCCACAATTCATTACTTAAACATAAATAGTTAAGTTCGAATTTCGAGGACTCATTGTGGACTGTACAATCTCGTTTTCATTCAAAATCAATTAAGCCTTACAAGTCAAGCCAAGAGCTCATTAAAATTTTTTTGAGTCGTTTATCACAAATAATTATTAAAAGCCCAATACCATCAAAATAAATTCAGATCTAATCAAACATTTTTCTGTTCGCATAACATAGAAATTAAACTATAAAGTCCTAAATCTAGCATAAGAGATTAGGTCTAATAACACAAGCTTTGTGTACGGTTGCTTTCTTACGTATTGTCTACTTTGGAAATGCTTTAGTCCATCTTACCCTTCAAGGCTTTCTGTCATGTTCTCTTAGATTTGAACCTAAGAAGATACCTTATGAAAGACTTAAGTTGAATTCTGGTATTGATTGGGTAAGTCGTTTAATTGGTATTAGAATTCAACTTAAATCTCTCGTAAAATAGAGGTCTTGATTTCGAATCTTGTGGGACCCGACCAAAAATAGTAAGGGATAAGATGAGTTCAGATTCTCCCTAAAGGAGAACGACTGGCCATGAGGCTTAGGTCATTACAAAAGTTGTCTAATTGATACCAGAATTCAACATAAATTTCTCATAAGGCAATTGCCTTAGGTTTGAATCCGGGTGAACAAGGTCGTGAAGGATAATATGAACTAAATCTCTCTTAAAGTGGCAGCAGACAAGAAAATGACTAAGCACAAGACCCAAGTGATTATAATTAGACTTGAATTTCGTGAAATATTTGTTATCAGTAAAAATTTCCAAAGGATTAGTAGCGAACCAATGCTTTGTCAGCAAACGTTTTCAAAGTAAGTCTCTCATAAGGTAGAGATCTTGGGTTCAAATTGTGGGAGATGCGACAAAAATTCGTAAGAGATAAAATGAGTTTAGTTTCTCTCAAAACGGACAGTATGTAAGAGAACAACTAGTCATGAGACTTAGGTCATTACAAAAGTTGTCCAATTGATACTAGAATTCAACTTAAATTTTTTACAAGACAAATGTCTTGATTTTGAATCTTGGTGAACGTGATAAAAATATCGTGAGGGATAAGATGAACTAAGTCTCTTTCAAAGTGGCAGCACGCAAGAAAATGACCAGATATAGGGCCCAAGTCATTATAATTAGACTCGAACTTCGGGAAATATTTGTTATCAATAAAAATTTACAAAGGATTAGTAGTGAACCGATGCCTTTGTCAGCAAACGTTTACAAAGTCAACCGAACCATGTATGAGCTCAAAATAAGGTAGGCTAGCATTTTAACTCAAGGCTTTATTACCAACCTGGAGCATAGCAATGAGCAAATGTACTTCAACTAATTTCACCAGCTATTCCATGTCAGCAGAAACCATTATCAAAGCACATGAATAATAATATAAAGAATGACTTCACAACTAATAAATAAAGAATATGTGGACTGGTGAATAAAACACGAAAAGCTAACAAATTCAGTTAGAAGTTTACGATTCACGGACTACCACATGAAAAGCTAACAAAAATGACTTATTTACCCACATGACCTCATTAGAAATCTACGAATAGGCATAATTGAAACATAGAAATGCATGCAAATCTGAATATCCTCCTTTCAAATAGTCATTTCCCTTTTTGCTCTTGATTAAGCATAAGGTCAGTGAGTTTGGGGAGGGACAATCCGGATTAGATGATTGAAAATTTTTAATTCATTTTCGAGGTCAATAATTAATAGGTAGAAAAGTATTACAAACCTTTTCATCCCTCTCAACATCTTCTATTGAATATCTTTATTTTATAGTTTCTCATTTGACCAACATAAATTGCAGAAGTCCAATTTTGAATCCTGCAAAGTCATCTCCCAGAGTAGCGCTTCATTCTGTTCTTACTCTAAAATATTCTAAGATAAGAGTGTCAAGAATCTCTCATTTTACTTAATTAGGATCAAACCTATTCAGTCATATCCATTACATCGTACATTCGTACTCAAAATGCCCACATGGTTTGATTTTTCTATTCCTGTTTTCCAAGGGTTGACGAAAAAAAAGCTAAAAACGTGAGATCCCCTCTAAGAGGCTTCATTCAACATATTTGTGATTATAGAAATGAACTTAAAAGCCAATGAAAACACATGTTGAAAAGTAAAAAATATTCTCAATTACCAGAAGCCTGAGGCAGATTATTCCTCAGAAATTTAATTTGGAGAACTACAGAACATGTAATTATATGTCAGGTCATTTTCATGGTGATGAAAATACAATAGCATATAAGCCAAACCTGTCAAATATACCTTTCTTCTCCAGGTTTTAATACTAGACTGCTGAGTGGGGTCTCATGGCCTCATCAGATGCTCAATTATACAATAAATACTTCATTTTTTTGTCAACTACTAGCCCCATTATTCCTTTCCAGAGGTCAATCAAAGGAAAATTCTCAAGCAGCGTGAGGTCATTCCAAATAGTTAATGAAGAAAAGCCAAAATAAGGAACAAACAAAGCAGATATAATACAGCGGGTCATTTGATCGATGTTAATAGTTGCTTATAAAAAAATTATTTTTGGTTCATTGCGAGGATTATCTCAAACAATGAAGCTTCTACTTTAACAAGTCAAAGTCAATATCGGTTGTCATGAGATAAAATAAAAGAGAACGTCCAAACTTGCGGACTATATTTGCTACAAGAAAATGCTACTCATGTTGAGTTGCACTCAATGTGACAAAGATATGTGAAAGTTGAGAGTCCATAGGATTGGTTTTGAGTAATCTTCTCTCATCAACACCATTAATGGCATCTGCCAAGCTCAGAGGCGAGCGCATGAATTGTTAGTTAGGGGCATAATTAAACTCTGTACAAATTGAAGATTTTTGAATGATTTATACTTGATCCAAGAAAATTAAGATTTGCATTTAAAAAATATTTTATCATGAATATTTTGCTCATAACTTTCATCCATTTGATTTCGAACAATCATTTTATTAATATTTTGCTCATCATAAGAAAATTCATATTTATGGTTAAAAAATTTATAGTGTATTTAATACTTTAATCAATTCAAGTGACTGAAAGGCAAAACATATAACCAATATTTAATCAAATAAATAAAATATATTAAATATAAATTAAGATGGACATAATCAGTTCAGACACATTTTACGTACACAAATAAGATAGAAGAAAAATGCAAATTTAGATTCTAATTAATTGAAAAGTAAAAATTTGTGGTAGATGTGATAATTTGTAGAAAAATTTACCACAAATTCTGATAAAATTAAAAGAGCTAAGGTTTTGGTAAAATTTGCGAAGGAGAGTAAAATAGAGTAAAAAAGAAGAAAAGAAAATTCAAATTTAAGAATTAAAATTTTGCCCATGTTTGGTAAGGATTAAAATCAAATATTTAGTAAATTTTCATAAAAGTTAAAAAGTTAAGGACTTCATGAAAATATGTTATTATAATTAATTATTAATTTTGATTTAGATTAAAATTTAGATTTCAATTGATATCAAACAAGATTTATTAAAAAATATATATATGTAAAACTCAAAATCTGGGGATTCGACTCTGCAGGACCCCCCTTGGGTCCGTCCCTAGCCAAGCTGCTGAATTGCTGGGGATATATAGCATGGTGACGGAACTTTTTACGCAAAATATAGTTACCTCTCATGGAACATTCATAACTTGAATAGATTGTAGCATGTCCGATGATAAGTTTATGTACTTATTTTCACCATATTACTAAATTTTTATATCCTCAAATTATTAAATTCTACCCAACTTGGGTTAATTTTCTTTTATTTTTAACGACTGACTTGTTTCACATTTTCTTTTATTTTTAGCGACTGACTTGTTTGAAACATGTGAAAAAGGATGAAGGATAAATTGGTAGTTGGATGAAATTTGGGATATAATATTTCACACTCTGGAAATTGAAGAGGGCATTAGTTGCACAATTGATGAACTCAAGGACTACATTGCATTAGCTTAAAAGATTGAACAACTTTAAAAAAAAAAAAAAGTGGAAATTACAGAAATTCCTAGAGTTAAAATTTAGGGTTCAAAAATCATATGAGTAATTTAAGATTTCAAAAATCAGATTTTACATGTTTAAATATTAAATATTATTTATTCTCTCTCCAATCTTCTTCTCTCTCCTTCCACCTGTATTATCTCTCCCACCCGTATTTATTCTCTATCCAATCTCCTTCTCTCTTCAATATTTCTTGTCTCTCCTCCCACCTGTATTATCTCTCTCCACCTGTCTTCTCTCTCTCTGGCAACTTAGAAAAATGGTTCTAGCTTCGGCGATATCTGTAGTAGTCGAGAAAAATAAAATGGAATTATGCTAATATTTTGTGATGATCTAACACCACGAGCCTAACCCATTTTAGAAACGACCTATGGAAGCTCAACCCATGTAAGATTACGAAAACCCAAGTCATAAGTTTATTAAAAGCCCAGTAATTTATGAGATTAAGTTTAAGTAAAATTGATTATAAAGATTTAATGAATAACTGGGTTGTCACAATGATCATCTACATGGTATTTCATATGGGCAACCCAGGTTCGAATCACCATATAGATGTTTTTTATAAAACTTTTATATGAATTATTTTTATGACTTAGAGACTCTTCAAATTCATAGTTAAAGGTTAAATTTAATAAATTTAATGATAATAAAACTCCCCCACTTAATTTTTCATTAAAAAGAAAGGTTATAGAAGTAGAATGTCACTTTTTCACTACACTCCTCTTCAAATCCGAATTTCAACTCATTTTCTCTTAAAAAAATATATTTCATATCAAGCTAATAAAGTAAACTGTGCTGGGTGCTGTCTCCGTTTTTCAGCTTCTACCATTGTTTTCAAAAATTCATAACTCACTCGTTACTTGGAATTTTTGGATGAAACCAATTGGATTTGATATTCTCATGGATTAGCTACTGAATAAATTTGAAATCATGTGGTTTTGACGTCGGTGAAATTTTATATGTCATTTTAAGTGAACTGCACCGGTTTACCTTCCAACCAGGTCGTTGCTGAGTTTTGAAAAATATTTTAATACCCCATATGATGTCGAGGGAAGCTAGTTTTTGAGTATGTCATATTATAAGGAGTTTACTACCTTACATTAAAATTTGATGAAGTTTCAAGGTCGATAGCTATGAAAACAAATTTATTTTGATAATTACTGTTTGAGACAAAAAAACTGGAACAGCAACATTACTTTTTAAGTTTTGCCAAAATTTCACGTCAATAGTCGTTACATGCATGGAACCCATTCTAAAAAAATTTTGAAATTGTTTTCTTTTAGAATTGAATTATTGTTTAAATAAAAAAAAAGAATTTTTTTAATTAAATTCAAAAATTTAATCTTTATACCTTCTACTAAAAATATATTGAACTAACTTTACGGCTAAGGTACAATGGTTTGAGTGATGTTTCCGCCCATGGGGTCGGGGCGTTACAGCGTGATATCAGAGCATGAGTTTAGTCGATTCTGTAAACTTAGTGTATTTTATTTATGAGATGAAAAAAAATGAAACATTTAAAGCACTCCATGGGATCTTGTGTCTATCAGTTGACCTCATCCGACGAACCCAAGGTATGGAATAAAATATTATGTTCCACATTATTTTTTCAAGCATGATTTTTTTTTTATCATTTAAGCTTGAATCTATGAAAATGCTTATGATATTTTGAATGAAATATGGTATGTACATTATATTTTGTTTAAATATACGTGAAGAAATGATGATTGACCAGCATATTAGAACCTCAAGAGTATAATGTATAAGTAGATATCACTAATGATGATAACACATAATTGGACACTTATGTGACAGACATGGCTAGAACTTATCGGACTGTTAGAAAGGCCACAGTTTGTATAGCAGTGTTGAACTATAGGGCCATCATCTAGTCCTATGAGAACTATGTGACTGACTCGTCTCGTCCACTTGTTGAACACGTACATGATATCTACGAGAGATGTATGACAGATGTAGATGTGGGACTGGAGATCACGCATATCGAGGCTATGAATAACCTTATACATTTACTTCCACCTCAATGGGAGAAACATGGGAGTCATTGTTAGGGATGAGATGCTAGAGGGTAACCATCCAGAGCACCCAAATACGATTGAATTTGGTATATATTGTCAGACCTTTCTAGATAGATGGAGTGAGAGTTTAGAACCCCAACCGGAGATACTAATTGAGCCCAATAATGAGGTTGAGCCTGAACCTTAGTTTGAACCAGATGCCGAGGAAGATCCCGAATGGGAGCATGAGGATGACTTTGGGTTGGACTTAGAGAATGATCTTGAGCATGAACCTGAGCCACAGGTTGAGATGGACCTAGAGTCAGGGCCTGAGACAGAAGACTCCTTCAAAGATGAGGCTCCACCGAAGAAGGAAAATATCTTGAGCAAACCAGGACAACTTGATAAGGGATCTCTTGCAAGCGGTTCAATATCTTGGCAGGCTGAATCAAAATCCCGTTCCACCTACACCACCAGCTCCTATTACTCTTTCGACTCACGCCTCGGTTGTTGAGTTATTTCGAAGGCATAAGCCCCCTACCTTCGATGGAGCATCTGGTCCACTAGTAGTTGAGGAATGACTTTGTAAGCTAGAACGAATTTTTCGGCTCATAGACTGCACTGATGCCTAAAGGGTTCAATGTGCGGGTTTATGTTTATCGGTGATGCAAGTCACTGGTGGGATTCGATGTCCCGAACTAGGACTCCGGAGCAGCAATTGGCAATAACTTGGGAACAATTCAAGGAGGAAGTGATGAACAAATATTTTCCTCAATCTCTAAGGGATTTCAAGGGGAACGAATTCCTTCAACTCAAGCAGGGTAATATGTCCCTAACGAATTACGAGCGAAAGTTCGATCAACTCTCAAAGTATGCTCCACATCTGGTTGACACGAAAATTAAGAAAACTCGAAGGTTCGAGCAAGGGTTAAGCCCAGACCTAAGTATGATCCTTATGTCACATCGCTTCACGTCGTACCGTGAGATGCTGGAACGAGCTCACGCTATCTGGTATCAAAAGGCTAATGCAGAGCAACATCGTCAATTGTACAACCAGCAGGATAAAGGACAAATTGGAAAGAGAAAGTGGAATGGTCAAGACAAAGGAAAGGGCAAATGGCAAAATAAGAAAGTTAATATCGGATCTAGTGCTAGTAAGGCCATGGTAGTTGCAGTAGCCCTATGCCCTAAGTGTGGTAAGCCTTATCGTGGTGAATGCTTGTATGGGAAGAATGCCTATTTTCGGTGTGGCAAATCAGGACATATTGCTAGAGATTGTCCCACATTTGCTCAGAGGAAGGATGATAACAATGATCAGAACAAGAAGGAGAAAGCACGAGTTTTTACATTGACTCAAAAAGATGCAGAGGGGAACTCAAACGTAATAACAGGTATTGTATTGGTAGCCAATACACCTGCTTATATACTGTTTGATTCAGGAGCTACTCACTCTTTTGTATCGACGTCTTTCATTGCTAAATCTAGTATTACTTGTAATAAGTCAAAGAGTACACTAGAAGTTAGCCTCCCCTCAGGCAGGACATTGAACACAGATAAGTTAGCTAAGTCAATGAAATTCAATATTGAGGGAAAAACCTTAGAAGCTAATTTGTATATGATAGATATGAAAGACTTTGATGTGATTCTGGGTATGGATTGGTTAGGACGTAATTATGCAACCATTCGTTGTAGAGAAAGGGAAGTGTCTTTTCCAAAACCAGGAGAAGAACAATTTTCTTTCCTCAGAATAAAGACCAAACCCCATCTCCAACTAGTATTGGCCTTGCAAGCTGAGAAAATGTTGAGAAAAGAAACATCTCTAAGGTTTCTAGTTAATATATTTGGAGAAAAACTGGTAACGACAAAGATTGAGGATGTACCAGTGGTACAAGGATTTATAGACGTGTTTCTAGAAGATCTACCTGGTATTCCACCAGATAGACAAGTGAAATTCACAATAGATCTAGTTCCTGGAGTGGCGCCAGTATTTAAAGCCCCATACAGAATGGCCCCAAAGGAACTTCAGGAGTTGAAAATCCAGTTACAAGAATTGTTAGACCTTGGTTTTATTCGACCAAGTGTATCACCATGGGGCGCACCAGTATTGTTTGTAAAGAAGAAAGACGGAAGTATGAGGATGTGTATCGACTATCGGGAGTTGAACCGTTTAACCATCAAGAATAAGTATCCTCTCCCTAGAATTGAGGATTTGTTTGATCAATTGAAAGGGGCTAAGACATTTTCTAAGATCGATTTACAATCTGGGTATCATCAATTGAAGGTTAAGGCAGATGATATACTTAAGACTGCTTTCAGAACTCGTTATGGACATTACGAGTTCACAGTTATGCCATTCGGATTGACAAATGCTCCGACAATGTTCATGGATTTGATGAATCGAGTATTTCATCAGTATTTGGATCAATTTCTTATAGTCTTCATTGATGACATTTTGATATACTCCAAGAGTTAAGATCGACATAAGGAATATCTTAGAATAGCGTTGGAGATACTACGCAAGGAAAAGTTATATGCCAAATTCAAAAAGTACAAATTTTGGCTTGAACGAGTTGGATTTCTCGATCATGTAGTTACTACCCAAGGAATTGAAGTAGACCCAGTAAAGGTGGAAGCAGTAACTAATTGGAAGACAC